GGCTGAAGGGCGCCGGCCTTCCCCCCTTCCCCCGGTAAAGCCGCTCCGGCCCTCTTTTGCCTCGTCTAACCCCCCCCCCCCCGCCAAGGCCCGCTCTGTTGGGTCGGAAGCGGAGGGTGGGGGGACTTTGCGGACGACTTTGGCCACAGGCCTTTTTCCCTTTGGGCGAGTAGGGAGCATAAATATGCACAGGACGGGGCTGTGTGAAAGGTCACTCAGCTACAGCCCTCCCTTCTGATCGTGGACCTTGGTCTTCAGTTTAAAAACAAAAGTAGCTACTGTAAAGGGTGTGTGTTCCCTCCTTCTGTAACTCTAGTCCCAGCTCTTGCCTGTAACCCGAAAGAGAGGGACTTTGGCCTTCCAGATGTTTTTGGAGTGCAACTCCCACCATTCCTTCTCATGAGCCCTGGCAGTTGAGGCAGGGCTAAAATTCTACCACCCTATCTGCTGCTGTTGCAAAAATCTTAATATCTAACACAAACTAATGCAAAGCGGTAGTTGGAAAATAAATCCATTCTCCATTGCCAAGCATCTGTTTGAGATCTGGAATGTAGCATTTTAATATTAAGTATGCGTAAAATTCAGTTCACAAACCAGTCTAAAGGCTAATCTTTACATATTATATGAGCCACTTGATCACTTAGGAACTCACAGACAAATGTGTGAGCAACTGCTACTGCATAAAATGAAATACTGTACTGTATGTTGGTTCTCAGCAGCCATTAAAGTTTTCTCAGCATTGGTTGGATGTGAAAGGGGTGTTTCATCCATGGAGACCGTCTCTTAGTAGTACTGTGGCTATCAAATAAGAAATGTGCTGTTAATAACTGCAGCCTATCCATACACATGGGGGGCGGGGCGGTGAGAAATGTGTCCCTACTATGATGTAGCGGATATGATGGACTAGGCATCTGAAGACCTCGGTTCAAATTCTTGCTTGGCCATGGAAATACATGGGGACTGTAGGTGCAGCAGATAGACATTGTATAGCTACTCTGTCTTTTCCTTCTTAGTGGAGTTCTTGCACAAAAGAAAAAGAGGAAAGAAACGTCGGAAAAATATGAGAGGGTTGCAAGTAAAGGACTTACGGACGCCACCCTTTATCAGGATAGGTGTGAGTCTCAATTCAGTTGAATTTACTTTTGAGAAACCGTATGTAGGAAGGTTGTTGTAAAGTGAATAGAAGCAGTTCATTTCCTATTTCACTCATCTCTCAGACATGAAATACTTTACTGCTGGAAAAAATCCGCTTGAATGTTTAGGTTCAAATGCATAAAGATTTCTTGATATTTTGTGTGCTTCCTGCTTACTTACTTACTTCCTCATGTGTAACATTGGCTTAATGTTATTCTGTCTTTTATCAATTACAGACAAGCAGATGGTCGTAAAGTTCTACGGTCCAGTATAAGAGAATTCCTTTGTAGTGAAGCAATGTTTCATTTAGGAATACCCACAACCAGAGCTGGAACATGTGTAACATCAGATTCAGAAGTTATTCGAGACATTTTTTATGATGGTAACCCCAAAAAAGAAAAGTGTACAGTTGTCCTGAGAATAGCACCAACATTTATTAGGTAAGCATTTCCACTGCATTTAATACTAAAATAGTTATTCTACATATTTTGAATATGTTCTGGATGAATTTCCTTGTAGGATACATGTTTTGCTTGTTACAATTGTAAATGTTTAGCTATGAAGCTTTTTAGAACTTGGATTGGAGCGAGGAATCTTCTGTAATGATTTTGCATGCACAAACTACTTCTGTTACTAGTGGTGTCCGAGTTAAATTGCAAAGTTAAGAGATTTCATCTTTAGCTGCTTGGGAGTGCAACTTTGAAATATGTCTAGCACAATAGCCAGTGGTCCAGCTACTTTAATCACCAGCATAATTATAAATTATAACAATACTTGAAACATGTGTACTCTGTTGCTGTGAACTGCATAACTGAGGCCACACTTGATTATCAGTGCCTATGAATTGAACCCAGTAATGAAAAAGTAATCCTTATATTTTAACCAGGTTTGGATCATTTGAAATTTTTAAACCAGCTGATGAATATACAGGACGTAAAGGTCCCAGTGTTAATAGGAATGATATTCGAATACAAATGCTTGATTATGTAATCAGCACTTTCTATCCAGAGATTCTGGAAGCATATAAAGACAATACTGTTGAGAGAAATGCTGCTTTCTTCCGAGAGGTAAGACACCAACTAAATACACTTTAAAAGCGTATGTTTCTCTTTGAGCCATTCAGGGTGACATTTTAGTATTGTTAAATGCCTTAACCTTATGTACAATATAGCCTAAGAGATGTCGACTCCTCCAAAAGGTACACTTTGGGCTTTATATTTCAGCAGAGACTTGAAGCCAAATTTTCCACAGCCAAATCTTCAGTGCAGCTAAGGGTGAGTCGGTAGGAATCTCCATGGGCTCAGGGGACACACAAGCTCATCCTTAGACCATGGAGAGCCTTAGTTGCTCTGCAACTCCATATACTCCCTGAAAACTTTTCCTACAGAAATGGGGAGGGGCCTTGCCTGGATAGCTCACTGAGTTAGGTATTTGGTTGCAGGGCCGGAGGCTGGGAATTCAGTTCTTCATTGTGCATCCCAGAAGAGCCAATCAGTGTGGTCTTGGCAAGCTGCACGATTCCAGGCCAACCCAGAAGAAGAGAATGATAAACAATTTTTGAGTGCTCTGTACTTAGTAGAAAACACTAGAAAGGGTTGCAGCCCTCTGGTGGACATTTTTTTATTTTTTTAAAAGTTGATGGAGTGCAGGGCGGCACAAAGGGACTTTTTGAGCCATTCTTTTAAAAATGGGGGGGATGTGTGGATGGTAGGACATTGGTATGTTGTATGTCTGCATTAGGACATCTGGGAGCAACATGTGGCTTATGGACTGTATTTTGCCCAGAACTAATATAGCTACAGAGCCATGCTGGCATTCAGTCTCTAGAAGTAACTTCTAAGCAACATAATTATTGTGACTTGCTCTGCAGAATTGATTTTTGTAAAGGCGATTATATGTATTTGAGAAGAGTTTTCCTGAAATACACAGTTGACAGAGGTTGAAATGGATTGTAATGTATCATTTCAGATTTTGTAAAGTACAGTGGTGCCCCGCATAGCGATGTTAATCCGTTCCGGATTAATCGTCGCTATCCGGAAACATCGCTATGCGGGGGGGAGCCCCATAGGAACGCATTAAACTTCATTTAATGCGTTCCTATGGGGTGAAAACTCACCGTTATGCGGAGATCCTCCATAGCGCCGCCATTTTCGCCGCCTCGGTAAGCGAGGAAATCGTGTGAAAATGGTTGTGGTGGCCATTTTGTGCACCCAGTGGCCATTTTGGAACCGCCAATCAGCTGTTCTAAAAACATCGCAATGCAAAGATCAGTAAGTGAAATGCTTACTGATCATCGCAATGCGATGTTTAGGCTATCTAAACATCGCAATGCGATCGCATTAGCGATTGCAAAAAATAGATAGCTATGCGGATTCGTCGTTAAATGGTGCGCTCATTATGCGAGGCACCACTGTAATTTGGAAATGTGAGCAAATGAAATAAATACATGACTTGTCATAGCTCATCAATGCTAGATTTACTGATACGTACTAAGAACTGCCCCATTTTCTTTGACATGTCATGTTTTCAAGGGTGTTGTTGATGATGTTATATGCCATCAAGTCAGAACTGAATTATAGCAACCCCAGTAAGGTTTTCAAGGTATGTATGGTATCTAAGAGGTGATTTTACCAATTCCATCCCCTAGTGAGTTTCCATGGCAGAGCTGAATATTCTCTGAGAAGTGGAACTGGTAAAACCACTAATTAAGTATGTCACTTACCTTCAGGGGTCTCCTGAGTCCTAGACATACTGTAGATATATTTACAGTGGTGCCTTGCTTGACGGGGATAATTCATTCCATTCAAATCGCTGTTAAGCAAAATCCTCGTCAAGCGAAATGAAAAAGCCCATTGAAATGCATTGAAAACCTACAAGGAAATTTTGCACAGCAGGCAGCTATTTTGAAACCAGATGATCAGCTGTTTTTGATCGTCGTTAAGCGAAAAATCTGTTCCCGAAGTTGGGAACCGATCAACTTTAAGCAAAAAAAGCCCATTCAGTCATCGTTTAGCGGTCGCAAAAAACTAATAGTCATGCGATTTCCTCGTCTAACGATGTTATCATCAAGCGAGGCACCACTGTACAGTGGTGCCTCGCTTAACGAGCACACCGTTTAACGACAAATCCGCATAGCGATCTATTTTTTCAGATCGCTAATGCGATTGCATTGCGATGCTTTAATGGGTAAAACAGCGCATTGCGATGATCGGTAAGCGTTTCGCTTACCGATCTTCGCATTGCGATGGTTTTTTAGACAGCTGATCGGCGGTTCCAAAATGGCTGCCGAGTGCCCAAAATGGCTGCCGCAACCATTTTCGTGCCCTGCCCTCGCTTACCGAGGAACTTCGCTGAACTGTGAGTTTGGGCTCCATAGGAACGCATTAAACTAGTTGGTGTGCTAATCAGAATATCATGGAGGCACTCTGTCAAAAGCTTTGTTGAAGTAAAGATATACAGTGGTGCCCCGCATAGCGACGATTAATCCGATTATATCTTTACTTCAACAAAGCTTTTGACAGAGTGCTTCCATGATATTCTGATTAGCACACCAACTAGGTGTACTAGATAGAACAGCTGCCAGGTGGATACACAGTAGGTTACAGAATTGTACTCAGAGCTTATCAATGGCTCCTTTTCAAACTGGAAGGAGGTAACAAATGGGATAACACAAGGCATAGTCCTGGGCCCAGTGCTATTCCATATTTTTATTAATGACTTGGATGAGGGGTGCAGGGAATGTTTATCAAATATACAGTTTATAAATTGGGTGGGATAGCAAATATCTTAGAAACAAAATTCAAAAACATCTTGATAGGCTTGAGTACTAGACTGAAAACAATAGAATGAAATTTAACAGAGACAAATGCAAAGTTCTACACCTAGAAAAAATATATATATACTGTTACAAGATGGGGGATACTTAGCCCATTAATACTGTGAGACGGATCTTGAAATTGTTGTAAATCACAAACTGAATATAAGCCAGCAGTGTGATAATGGCTGTAAAAAAGATCTATGTTATTTTAGGCTGCATTTAGAGAAGCATAGTCTCCAGATCCCATAAAGTACTAGTTTCCCTCTATTTTCATACTAGTTAGGCCTCATCTTGATTACTGTGTCCAGTTCTGGTCACCCTATTTTAAGAAATATGTCAACAAACAGAAGCAAGTCCGGAGGATGATCTGTGCACTGGAAATCAAGCCCTGTGAGGAGAGACTAAAAGAACTGGGCATGTTTAGCCTGTTTAAAAGAAGACTGAGGGTAGATATAATAGCACTTTTTAAATACTTGCAAGATTGTCATACAGAGCAGGGGCAGAATCATCCTGGAGTGCAGGACACATGATAATGGGCTAGAGGTTGAATATCAGGAAAAACTTCCTAACTATTAAAACAGTACAATGTTGGAACCTGTTACCTTGGGAGGTGGTGAGTGCTTCAGCACGAAAGCCTTTTAAGAGAATATTGGACAACCATCTGTTACGTATACTTTGATTTGTATTCTTGCCTTGTGCAGGCAGTTGGACTCGCTGACCTGATAGGTTCCTGCCAACTCTTATTATTCTATGATTCTGTTACGAATTTGTTCTATCCAGTATACTACACAGTTCCTTTGTTCAAGGGTAGTTTTTCTTAAGGAATAGAAATTTTATGGATCGCCGAATAATAGTAGATGTATCTGTGTATGGAATATAGTGAAATATGTTGAATATGCCCATTTGTAATGGATTAAGTTTTGGTGTTGACCTGTTTCAAATAGTAATGTAATCTGTATAAAAGAAACTTGCTTGAAAACTGATTGTGTTATTTTAAGGTGTCAAAGTGTACAGCAAGGATGGTTGCTGAATGGCAATGTATTGGATTTTGTCACGGTGTGCTGAACACTGACAACATGAGCATTGTTGGACTTACAATTGACTATGGACCTTTTGGATTTATGGACAGGTTAGTGGTGTGGAGTTTAACTACTGAAAACATTAATATTTATGTTGACTGTGCTTTGTGGCACCATAGTCTCTTTTATTGCCCTTTTTTCTTTTTGTAATTTATAGTGAGCCCTACTGAAGACACTTAAACATTCCATAAATTCTAGAATCTTGTATTGTTTATTGCTAGTAGTTAATTGGTTGTTATTGTTGTTTTCATTGTTATTGCGTGGTATCTAGTTGGAACTGATAAATAGCAACATTTACAGGGCTGTCAAGGTAAATGAGATATTTTAGGAATAGTTTTACCAGTCCCACTCTCCCAGTGAGTTTCTATGGGTCAGTGGGGATTCAAACCGAGGCGTCCTGAATTCTAGTCCTATACTCTGTCCACTGCACCACACTGGGAATGTAGTGGTGAAATTAGTTCAGAATAATTCTGCTAGATATTTCTGCAGTAATATCATTAAGCATGATATATCTGCACTTGTTTGCAGTTTGTATATGTTACCCGACATTTTGTTTCTGCTCCATTTAGTTTCCTATTTTTGTGTCAAACATGCTATAGTAATATAATTTCACTTTTCAGCATGTGATGACACACAATCCTGAAATACCTAATTTTGTGTGTTTTTAAAAAGTATATACCTAGCAATTGGAGTATCTTGCAAAAGAAACATTGTGCCAAATATTTTTATTTATAGATACGATCCTGAACATATTTGCAATGGGTCTGATAATGCTGGACGCTATGCTTATAATAAGCAACCAGAAATTTGTAAGTGGAATCTAGGCAAACTTGCTGAAGCCTTGGTCCCAGAACTCCCACTGGACATCAGCATACCCATTCTGGAAGAAGATTATGATGCAGAATATGAGAGGCATTATTTGCAAAAAATGAGAAAGAAACTAGGATTCATTCAACTCCAGTTAGATGAAGATGATAAATTGATTTCTGACTTCTTAGAAACTATGCATGTGACAGGTTAGTGTGCATCATATTAAAAGATAGCAAGGTGTCAATCATTTGATTCTACACATAAAATAATGTGTGTCACTGTAATAGTAAAGAAAAAAATGAAATATACAAATTTCAATTACTACAAAGTTGATACATATTTTTGTATTACTGAATATAAAATTCCCTTTAAATTTCTTTCTCAGGTGCAGATTTTACAAATACTTTCCGCTTGCTGAGTTCTTTCCCAGTAGATGCAGATCCGTTAAAACTGGAAGATTTCTTAGACAAGATTTCAAATCAGTGTGCATCTTTGGAAGAACTGAAAGTTGCTTACAAGCCTCAAATGGATCCCAGGTATAGTGAGACGTTACTCTGTTCAGTGAACAGTAATATTAGGTGTTCATTGTTTGTTTAAATGTTTTGAAATTTCTAGAATCCTGTTGGTGTCAGAAAGGTTAGTGTAACTCCAACAGGTAACAGCAGCTAAGTGAGGAGGTGCCTGGACACTTCTTGCTTACATGCCAGCTCACACCTGATAGTGTAGCTGTGATGCATCATGGCATCTCATCAGTTAGTTGCAAATGGCCATGACACATTAAGCAAACTTTACAAAAACATCAATAGGATTACAGTTTACTTCTGAACCCGATGACAGTAAGAAGAGTTCAATTAATTCTCCATATATGTATTTGACAGATCAGATTAGAATAGAAAAGTAGCACCTTATCTATAGATTAAGCTTCAGTGATGTTTCTATATTTTGCTAGTATAATTTTAATTTTATTTTTCCTTCACTAGGCAACTTTCAATGATGTTGATGTTAGCACAGTCTAACCCACAACTATTTGCCTTAATTGGAACAAAATCTAATATAAATAAGGAACTGGAGCGGATAGAACAATTCTCTAAGCTGCAGCAAATAACAGCACCAGAATTGCTTAGCAAAAATAAAGGTCACTGGAAAGAATGGCTGCAAAGCTACAGGTGGGACTAATCCTTACCTTCTGTTTATTGCTAGCAGAGTTTTTCCCCCAGTAATTGAAATATATTAGTAAACATACTAGTAGTACTAATTTGTAGATATTGGTATTCACAAAATTCTGTATTCTGAAATGCAAATGTATTTAAGTGTTAAAATGCATAAAATTCCTCTTTTATTATTGAATCCCAGAAGTATTCCAGATATTAAGTTTAGAATGCATAAAAGCACCCTAGGCCAGCCTTCTGCCTGATTTATTATAAGGTTTTATTTTATTTTATTTTTATATTTACCTCTGTTTAAATAGTCCTCTTGAAACTGATTGATTGTGTTCAACAATCTAATGTATACTACTCAGTGAAGAAAGTTTTCAGGGGCGTCATCTCAGTGTTCGGTTTTGTTTATTGCACCACAGAACTAAGGAAATGGTCTTATTTTAAAATCCTTTGTTTATGTGTTCTGCAGTTCGCTTGATACAACTTTAAAGGTTGGTTGTTTGGTTTAAAGAAATCAACTTTAACCACCACACTCTTTTCATGTTTTGTTGTGTGTTTTTAGAACACGACTAGAGAAAGAAATGGAAAACATCAGCAGCACTGAAGCCTGGAGCACTGAGCATGTGAAAGTTATGAATTCAAACAATCCAAAATATATCTTGAGAAATTACATTGCTCAAAACGCAATAGAGGCAGCAGAAAATGGCGACTTTGTGGAGGTAAATACTGCAGATAAGCATTGAAGAATGCATCCAGAGGAGTTTTCATTGGGTATGGAATATCAAAAGATATGGAGGTCCCGGTGGCTGTGAAATGCAGTTTAAAATATTTTGAAATAAGGATGATTGATTTCTTAAAAATATAGTTCAGATTGTGTTATAAACATGGTGTCCTTTTCTTCCTTTCCCAGGTAGGAAAAGTCTTGAAACTCTTAGAAAAGCCCTATGAGGACACAGGATGTTACAGTGAGGAGCCAGAGGAAGAGGAAGAGGAAGCAGCTGTGGCTGCAGCATCTGCCTGCAGTTCTCCAGCCCAAAGGAGAGTTCCATATAACAGTAAACCTCCCCTCTGGGCTTCAGAGCTCTGTGTTACCTGATCTTCGTAACTGCCTTGTTAGTGTTTTCCACAAAGAGGAAGGCTTTCTGAATAGTGGAGATTGCAACAAGGTGCCACAGAAATGCTATTTAGTATCAAACAGATAATTTGGATGTCTTCACAGGTCTCACCTGAACCATGTCCATTTTATACAACATGACAATCAACTCTTTGGGCACACTTGTCAGTGTTCTGCAAGACAGGCCAAAGTTTTCTCTTCTCTCCATTATGCAGTAAGTGCTGCAGAATTTTATGCACAATGATCTGTGAACATCTAAATTAAATCTGTATTTGTGAAGGCAAAAATAGCAAACCCAATGTTGGATCTATTTTTGTCTGAAAATTAACTAATAGTATTTTCTGATAATGTTTATAATACCTTTCTTATGCAGGGATAATTTGAATCTCTCTCAGTGGAGGGAGAGAGTTTAAGCTTATCATTGTTTATTTGAAGCTATGTTTCATCTAATTGTGTAGTTTATTTGTCGTGAACTTCTATAGTCTATATAATGTTTTTAGAAAAGTTGTTGGACAGTGGGGAAGAGATCACAATAATGTGCATTACAAATAGGAAATGGACAGTTAAGAAAAAGGATGGGTTTCAAGTTTCAAGTTAGCTATATTACATACTATAATTCAGTTTCATGTAAGATGATGCGTGAACATAAACATGTCACTGAATGCATCTCCTGTTGGATTAGAAAATCCACGCACAAATAGCTGTTACGCTTGTGGTTCAGAATTACATTCCTGCTTCTGTATCTCTACATACAGTTCATTTCACTGGATCAGAAGTTGTGCAATCCTCCCAAAGGAATGTTCATAGCTAATAGCACCAATTCCTTTTGAACATTTGATAGTGCTGCCTTTTCTCCTACCCCCAAAAATGATTAGCCATGATGGTGGGTGTATCTAGATACCATAATAAGCCCAAAGTCTGCCTTGTTATGCATGCAGCAGCTTGCTGGTGTGGCTCTCCGGTTGCTCCTTCAACAAGCAGGAGCATCTAAACAGTGGTCTCTTGACATCCAGATGTAGCAGTTTGGCTTGCTTCTCCCTGACAAGGCGGAATAAATAACCCATAAGCCAGTGTGCTGGGTTTGAACAAAATAATAAGCAAAGCCTTGACAGGAGCTTCATGATTTTGTGATTGCTGTTGGTGGTTTTGGTAGTTCCTGCTTGAAGTGGGAATGATCAGTTTCTGTCCTCCACCGTGTTGCTCAAAAACAAAAAGCCAGGATTCTCTGGGGTTCAGCAGTAACAGAGTATTGCCAAAGAGTGCACTTTTAAGCAAGATTTATCCCAACAGAGTAGTTAGTTGGAATGTCTTGCAAATAAACTGCTTAGTGTTAGTTTTTCACTTTAAATTGCTATGTATTTTCATATTTGCCTCTTGGATAATCAATTTATTTGCTGTGTATTCTTGAAGGCTTTCATGGCCGGGATCCGATGGTTGTTGTCGGTTTTGTGGGCTGTTTGGCCGTGTTCTGGAGGTTTC